AAAAAAAAAATCATCAATGTGATCTTCCTAATTGTCAACAAAGGCTATTTCAGTATGTGAATCAATCAATTAAATAAAGTCTGTTATGCAGGGCTGCCGAGAGGGAGGGGCCACCGAGACAGTTTGTCCCAGGCGGCAGATATCTAAGAAGCGCCAAATGAAATTTAGGTGTCTAAAAAAAAAAAAAAAAAAAAAAAAAGAGGTTCTTCATATATAATAAAGGAAAAATTTGATAAATAAGGGCGCCAATCAGGATTGCTGTCCCAGGTGACGTGACAGCTCTCGGCGGCCCTGCTGTTATGAGCTTTTGGACTATACTTTAATGCAATGCGAATCAAATTCAAATAAAAATGTAGATCAACAAAATGTATGGTGACGCAAGTGACTCAAAACAACAAAAAATTGGCATAAAAACCCTCACCACTTTTTTACAAATTAAGTGCCCTTTCTTTGTTAATATTAAATGACAATGATTTTTTATTTCAAAAGTAAAAATATTTTTTTCATAAAGCTTTTATTTTGTATTTTATAGGTAAAAGAAGTGAAAAAATTTGATATTATTTTTAAAGAAATCTGAAAAATGTGAGGTTTTTATTCAACTAAATTAGAGTATTTGAAATTTAAATAAAAGTGTATATTTATTTTTAAAATAATTTTTTTACTCTATATATTTCAAATATACTAAAAAGAAAAAAAAAAAGTCTGATTTTTTCGTTCAAATTTAAAGACTTCTCTAAAAAAAAAGTAGAAAACAATTGTTTTTTTTTTGTTAATATATCAGCTAAAAAATGTTCCACCGAGTTCCACAAATCTATGTATATAAATATATTTTCCAACTAATTATCATTTCTATTTTAGGAATAAAAAGGGATTACTGCGGTCTCCTGCGGTATTGTAAGTTATTAAAGAAAAACAAATGTTAATGATTTCATAAAAACCTTGTTTTCCGCCATTTTGCTAAATACTTTATTATATCAAAACAAATGAAATTGGCGGGAAACTTAAATTTAAGTTTTTTGCTTGTAGAACTTGTTCAAATATAGTTTTTAAATCATAAATATTAAATATAGTTTTAAGAAACGTGCTTTTGTCATTATATACTATTTAGAAGTTTGTTAAAATTTATTGACAATTTTAAAGAACGATTCGATAAGTACAACTTGTTTGAAAAAGCTTAATTGAATAACTTTAGAATTTCCTGTAATATAAAGTTAACTAAGTAATATAGTGTATTTAACCAGCGCCGTGCTGTAACTTTTGGGGGCCCTGTGCAGAAACTAAAAAAAAATTTTTTTTCTTTCAATTCGTAGTAATTTATGGTATTGGAGAAGTTTTTCTAATGTATTTAATAGGGGGCCCAGTGCGATTGCACTTGTTGCACTTGCGATAGTAGGGCGCTGTATTTAACTAAGTAATATAAAAAAGTTAACAAAGTAATATAGTGTTATTACAGGATGTAACAATGTGAAAATTGTTAAAAGTCATAACAAAATAAAATTTAAAACAGTGTTTTAAATTTTAAAAAGTAAAAAAAATATGTAATGTAATTTAAAATGTTTCTGATATATTACTTTTATTATAATGATGGTTCTTAAAAACGAAAACAATGAAAAGATTACATCTTATTCCAAATATACGTGAATTAGGAGTAGATAAATTAAAATTATGGAAAGGATTTACTTTATGAAATAAAAAATACTGAAGAAATTCGCAAAGAAAGCTTAAATAAAGTAAAGCTTGCTTTAGTTATATTTATTTCAAAAGTGAAGAAAAAACAATGTGGACGAAACTATGATACAAAAAGAAAATCGTTGTCTTCAAAGAAATCTTATGAACAATAAAAATAGCCATTTTGGTTCTGAAAGGCCCCATAAACAACGGAGTGTTCTTGGAGAGCGAAGCAAATAAAAAAAATAAATAAAAGAACTAGCCGTTTAACATCATGAACTCTATTTTTAGCTTCTGCAAAAAGTACAAATGCTGCTGGAGAAAAAAAAAGCCTCTATTTAAAAAAATAATATATATAATGTTTTAGAGATAGAAAAAGTTGATGAAACTTTGAATAAAACTGTTCCCATTAATATGAGTCTGGAGAAAGCTCTTGCATTAAAAATGAATACTAATCTCAGCGATAAACAATATCAAATGATCAGAAACTCAGCTCTTGTACGCAATGTACATATTTATCCTTCCTTGCACGATATTTTTGTGGAAAAATTGAAATGCTATTCTGAGAATATACATTTTTTTGAAATTTCTGCAAAGTGTACTCTTTAAGTATGTTAGATCACACTGGGAGTAGAATAATTGAAATGATTGATTTGCCTAATTTTGGTCAAAGTGACGAAATATTTGGAGTTTTAATGGAAAGATTGATTTTGATGGAGCATCAAGTCAAAGTATTTATAATCAGAAAAAACAAGCAACGCATGTATAGAACTTAAGCATGAAGAAAATCTTTTCGGTACAGCTTTTGTGCCTTTATTGCTCAAAGTAGAAGATGGCGAAATTTGGAAAAATGAAAATCCTTCAAGCTGTCACTTTTGTAGACCTCTTCATCTACAATATAAAAAAGAGAGCCCACTTTATCCATAGAAGAAGAATCAGATCTAAAAAATTAAAAAGGTTTTGCAAATTTTTCAATATTGCAGGAAGAATTTTGACATTTAATATCAGCTATAGAATTAATCTTACAATGTTTGATAATAAAGTACTTAACGCACTTACAGAGACAAAATCCACTCAAAATCCTGCAATGTGTGCAATGCTAAACCCAAGTAAATGAACGATATTTATTTATTAAAAGCAAAAACTGAGAATGACTAAGCTTTGGGTTTGGAATTTCAGTTTTACATTGCTGGATAAAATAATTTGAATTTATTCTTCATTTGAGTTATAAAATTGAAATTAAAAAGTATAAACCAAAAGCAATTGAGGAAAAATTATCTGTAGACTTAAAAAAAAGAGATTCATGTACTTTTCAGAGAACGGTTAAGCCTATACGTTGATATGCCTAAAACTGGGTCTGGAAACACAAATGACGGCAACACTGCCAGAGGAGCATTTAAAAATAGTGAAGTTTTTTTCTGAAATTACTAAAGTTGATTGTGATATAATTAAAAGATTGCATAACATTCTCATAACCATACTTTGTGGATATCCTATTAACATCAATGAATTAGATTTATACTGCACTGAAACAGCTAAACGTATAGTGAGTTTATACAACTGGTATGTTATGCCTCCTACTGTACATAAACTGCTCCTGCATAGTTCTTCTAAATCAAATAAATTACCTTTGCCAATCGGGGTATATTCGGAAGATGCACTAGAGAGTTTAAATAACCAGATAAAAAATTCTAGACTTAAACACACGGCAAAAATATCAAGGTTAAACACAAAGATGAATTAGATGCACTACCTTCTAGTAAAATCAGATACAAAAGTATCTTTTAGATATGCTTGATACTTATTAGAAAACATAAAAGTTAGCAAGGAAAACCGTTACCAGATAAAGTTTTTAAATTAATTGTAATGTAAATAATAAATTTAATACAGTATTTTTTCTCTGAATCAACATCATTTAAAAACCATTTTCATAAAAATACCAAGTAGAGTAATATATCAAATTTATGTGTTTGTCTTGAAGATTCTAAAAAATTGAAAAATTTTTTTTGTACGCGTATATCATCTTAAACAAGCACGCATTTTACGCGTCGAAGCTGCGCGTAAAAAAAATTTTATTAGCAAATTTGAAATCTTTGACTCAAAAATTATTTTGATATATAACATTATTTATTTACGATTTATGTCAAAATTAATTTAATTTTTGCCGTTTTTTAAATGTCCTGAATCACTGTGCACCGTTAAGGTGAGTTAAGGTGATCCGTTTTAAGGTGATCCGTTTTTTCACGGCAACGGGATAGGAAAGTACGATTTCCTTTGGACACATTAAAAACTATACTACGCATGCCCACGTGATTAATTTCCCGTTCCCGATGGGTGGAAACTCGCCTTAAAGATGAGTTTCCACTCATCCGTTTTTCTACGGGAACGGGATAGGAAAGGGAAAAATAATTAGTGAGCATGCGTAGTTATACTTCGGACAAATTAAAACTTATAAAGGTGAGTTTCCACTTATCCGTTTTTTCACGGGAACGGGATAAATAATCATGTGAGCATGCGTAGTTTTTTTTCAGACATATTTACGCATGGCCACGTGATTATTTTTCCCGTCCCTTTACCGTTCCCGTGAAAAAACGGATGAGTGGAAACTCCCCTAAATAACCACAACAGCATACAACACTGCTTCTGCTTTTACAACATTTTATATGACCACAACTATTTAAAAAATAGCTTATGATTGCTTCTAACGCAGTTGTCAAAAATCTCTGGAGAGCACTCTTACTCCTCTAACTATAACCAGTCTCCTCAGTCCTCCTCATTATTATTAGTCTTTTTTTATTATTAGCATGGTCTTTGTGTCTTTATTGACACAAAGACCATGCTAATAATATTCATGTTAAATCTAACAACTCTCTGATAATACAAATTTTTTCTTAATCTAAAGTTGAGGGTTATAACAAAATTCTATCGTGCATTTGATTTTTAAAACCATTGAGTCAATTATCAATGCAATAATTGCAGAATTAAATTTGTTCTTGAAAAGTAGCACTTCATTTCAGTAACTTTTAGGGTGCCAAACTTGGTCCTTTATTGTTTTTTTTCTACATTAATAAACTTCCTGACAATCTCACCTCTAAAGTGATCTTATTTGCTGAAGACACATTTATACACTTTTTTTTTGAAAAAAAATCATCTCTCTTTTTCAAGAGAGAAAACTCGCGATCAAGCAGCTGATTGATCAAGCAGCTGATCTCGAGTGTATCAGCTTGGGGCTTGAAGTGGCTAATAATATTTATTAAAAAATAAACATAAAATTTTTTCAATACATTGTTTTTAATTATATTACAAAAACCTAAAGAAAAAAACAAACAAAAAAAACACATGCATTATATGCAATATTCTAACTGTTAATTAATCTATATAAATAATTTTTCATATAAATAATCTTTGAAAAATAGCACACGCAATGATTTTTAATGCAATAAAACTATCGTGTGAAAAAAAGTACCTTTTCTCCCCCCTAAAAAGAAAATTCTTTATTTAACATTGCCACTTGAAAATTGACAAAGTGTACAAACCGTAAAACAATATAAACCGTAAAACATATTACCCGTAAAACATATAAACCATAAAATATATAAACCATAAAATTAAAACAAAAATTAGTATATATATAAAAAAAAAAAAAATAAAAAAATTTACATTGCAAAAACTTAATAAAAAAATATTTTTCTTAAAAAGCAAACATATAAACAGGTATTTACTTTTTAAATACAAGTGAATAAAAAAAAAAAAAAGGCTTTTCTACTTTCTCGAGTTGGATGACCTAGAAAAAGTAAATAGAAAATGTCTAAACTTAATGAATTTTACAATTATGTTGATTTTTATAACATTGATTATAGAAATGGGTATCTATAGAGTCTAATAACAACTTGAAGGTAAGGAGACTGGTTTACGTATGCAATGTTGTCTTATTTTTTATGCTACAACTAAATAACAGAGTTCAATAGATATGGCATGAAAAATACTTGTATAAATAACTGTCTACAAATATTTCTATTAATATTTAAAATATTTTATTTTTAAAGAATCGTTTAAATTGCTATAAGTAATAACTATTTCATTTAATGTCATTAAATTCCTGCTCGGGAAGAAAAGCAGTAGAAATTATGTAACCGCTCAAAAACTTGTTTAAAATCATATATTTAAACTATATAGATAAAACGAAACTGGTGTGAGAATGAATATTTTTTTAATAAGCAACATGAATAATATAATAACAATTAAAGAACTCCAAAAAAATATATATATATACTTTATATATATATAACATATATTTATTAACATACGAAGTTTTCATATGAAAACATTTATAAATAATAATTTACTAAAACTAAAAACTAATATTAAACAGCAATTACTAATATAATCTAAATAAAAAAATAAATAAAAAAAAGCAACATTATGACGTGACAATCGTTGAAGGTTGGCTACAAGAGCAGGTTCAACTATGTTAACAATTAGCTGAAGAAAATTGAGTTTTATCTGAGTTAAGGTTCACCAGCCACTGAGAACCCCATGCTGCAGCAGAAGTAAAATCCTTTTTAAGCTCAAATGTTCCCTCCAAGCAATCAGAGAGTGTTGGCTTCTTATCAAAACAAGAATAAATGGTAGTATCATCAGCGAACAATCCCACCTTAGATGTGAGAATTTAAGCGAAATCATTAATGTAAATTTAAAAAAGTATATGGGCAAGGGTATAACGTTGAGGAACCCTGGAAGTTACAGGATATAAAGAAAAGTGCTATCCATCGAGGAAAACTTTTATACTATGATTAATAAGAAAGGATTCAATAGTCTTAAACATGTTACTTGATA